GGGGGGAAGAAAGTTCCTGCCCAAGAGAAGGACAGAAGAGGGACCAAAGGGCACTTCTATTTAGAACATATGTATTAAAAATAAAAATCAGACCCTCTAAAATTCAAAAACCCAATCCAAAAATGGGGATTTGAGATGAATACATACTTCTCAGGTAAAGAAATACAAATGGCAAATAAATATATGAAAAAATGTTCAAAATCATTGGGTCTTTGGGCCGGCCAAATAGCTCAGCAGATTGAAGAACCTGCAAGCAGGCACAGGAGCCAGGGGTTCAATCCCTGGGCCTGCTGTGCTGGCCCTGCCCCTGGGGCACACTGAGATGGGAATTGAGACTGGGCATGATGGTATGTGCATGTAATCCCAGCTCTTGGGAGGCTGTACACAGGTGGATTACTACAAGTCCGATCTAGTAGTGAGACCCTTGAACATCCTGTAGGCCTTTCCTAAAATACAGGGGGGAAAAATCCTTAAAAAAAATCATTGGGAGGCCGGGGAGATGGCTCAGTGGAATAAGCGCTTCCCTGGCAAGCGCAAGGACCCGAGTTCAAGCCCCAGTTCCGCAAAAAGAAAAGACCTTAGGTCAGGAAATGGGGGAGCTTGAGAAAGAAAAAAATCGCTGGGTTTTTCAGAAATGCAAGTTAAAACAGCCCTGAGATTCCATCTCAGTGAGAATGAATGGCTATCATCAAGAAATCAATGAATAACAAATGCTAGAGGGGCTGTGGTGAAAAGGGAACCCTTCTCCATTTTTGCGAGAGACTAGACTGGTATAACCGCTGGAAATCAGTGTGGTTGATTCCTTAAAAAACTAGGATTTGAGGTTCCTTCTGATCCATGCCCCTTCTGGGTACTTCCCCAAAAGAACTAAAAGCATCATATCATAGCACTGTATGTGCATTCACATTTATAGCAGCACAATTTGTCACAGCTAAATACTGTAAACAACCCAAATGCCCATCAACCAAGGAATGGATAAAAAGATGTGGTATTTTTGTTCAATGGTGTATTACTTGGCTATAAAGATAAACTCCAGGCTTTTCTAGGTAAATGGATGTAACTAGACACTATGCGCACAAGTAAAATAAATCAGACTCACATGTATAAATGTTGCACTGTCTCCCTAATGTAAGAAACTGAAAGAGTGAGTAAGATTGAAAATGTACCACAGATACTGAGAAAGGGAAAGAAACTACTCAGAAGTAAGAACTACTGGGGTGGAGAAAAGGAGAGGAAAAAAATACA